TAGTTTGCATACACTGCGTTTCCCCCCTTTGCTAGCAAACCCTTGAGGAACTTCAATATAAACCTCTTCAACTCCTTGAATAAAAGCATTATGCACATCCATTTGAAATATGTGCCAATGCTTTGTTGCTGCAATGGCCAGAACTGATCTAACTATGACCATTTTGGCAACAGGGGAGAAGGTCTCAGTGTAGTCCAGCCCATCCTGCTCGCTAGAGCCTTTGGCTACAAGCCTGTCCTTGTACCTCTCCACTGTGCCAGAGGAAGTGTACTTGACTTTGAATACCCATTTACAACCAATTAGAGTCTTTCCTGAAGGTAGCTCAACTATTGACCATGTGTGATTGTCTTCTAAAACAGCAATCTCACACTTCATTGCCTCAATCAACTTGGATTTTTTATAGCTTTATTATAGGATTTAGGTTCAGTGATGGCTGAGTAGGCTGCCAAAGCAGTGCCAAAAGAAGGAGACACATTAGCATAGTTGATCATGTTAGAAATAGGATAACGACAATGGACACTCCCATTGCCATGAGTGACTTAGTCTTTGAGCCAAATAGGAGGCCTGCTAGTTCTAGCTGATTTTCTAGCTTCAGTAGAAGGTAAGGTAGAAACAGGACAATTTGCTTGGGGCAAACTAGGAGCATCACTATTTGTGATATGCTCATCAGGGAGATCAAGAGAAGGAAAGTCACCTGCATTAGAGTGTACAGGTGAGGAAGCTTCAGTAGTTCGGAGAGAAGGTGAAGAGGGGATATTTGAACAAGGAGAGGAAGGAAGTGAAGTGTGTAGACTATCAGGAGGTGGAATGGAGAGAAATGTAGAGGAGTCTAGTACAGGAAATAGAGCGGAGACTGCGGAGTTAAGATGCTGAAAGGGAAAAACATCTTCTTTAAAAATCACATCTCTAGTGATGTGAAATTGCTTGGTGTGTATTTCATACATTTTGTAGCCCTTTTGTATGGTAGAGTAGCCTAAAAAGACTGCAGGAACTGCTCTAAGAGAAAACTTATCTATCCTTTTAACAGTAGTCATGTATCCTAGGCACCCTAAACACTCTCATATGCTGCAGAGAGGGAGAATGTCCAAATATGATCTCAAAAGGGGATTTGCCTTGAAGTACACCAGAAGGGAGTCTATTTATGATATAGACACCAGTGAGCACACACTCACCCCAAAATCTCAGTGGAACTGCAGCTTTAAACCTGAGAGCTCTAGCTGTTTCAAGGATATACATGTGTCTTCTTTCAACAACCACATTCTGCTAGAGAGTATACACACATGAACTCTGATGAATAATCCCTAAGGATTGCAATAATTCAGTCATCTGTGAGTTAAAGAACTCACATCGATTATCTGATCTAAAGTACTTGACTGAAGCTGAATGAACATTTTGTACCATAGCAAAAAAGGATTTAAGTACTACTATGACTTATGCTTTGGTAGGCAATAAGAAAAATCAGGTATATCTAGAGTGATCATCCACCAAAGTTAGAAAATATCGCTTTCCATCATATGTAGGGATCGTGTAAGGAACCCAAACATCACTATGAATAGTATCAAAGCAGCACTTAAACACAGTAGTACTGATAGGGAATGGTAACCTTAATTGTTTAGCTAAGGGACATATAGTGCAATGATTGTCCTTAGTGTTTACATTCAATAGTGTGAAAATACCCCAGTTTTCTCATATTTTCTAGAGGTACATGCCCCAGCCTCCTATGCCACAAGGCTACACTTATTGACTTATCAGTTCTTATTGTATTTACAGCAGGTATAGGTCTTGAAATTGAATCCTTGACTTCTGCAGAAACTTGTGATGCAACTGAACCTCTTGTTGTAGAGTTGAACACATGAATACCATCTTTTTCTCTACCAATCCCCCTCACCGGTCCACTGAAGAGCTTCTGAAAAATAAAGAAACCATGGAAGAACATAACTACCCATTTCATTTCCTTGGTTAGCTTGGATACAGCTAGAAGGTTGAACTTGAAGTCAGGTATGTGCATCACATTAGACACCTTTAGATCCTTTAGAAGATAAGCAGAACCTATGTGCCTAATCTGAGCTACACTACCAGTAGGCAGATGCACTTATCCCCTTATATCATTAGAGATTGCCTTAACATTAGTCAGTAAATTATATATATTTACCATGTGACTTGAAGCTCCTGAATCTACAATCCATTTAGTCAGAACTTCAGTAATGTCACCACAGGAAGGCATACCTGCTGCCATAGTTGATCCACTGCATTTAGTTTGCTTGCCTAGAAGCTGTAAATTTTGACTGTATTGTTCTTGAGTAAATTGAGGGATGCCTGCTTGAAAGCTATGATTAGCTTGTTGCATCTGAGAGGTTCCTGCAAAGTTGACAGTGGAACCAACTTGACCAGTATTGCTACTACTAAGGGTTTCAGAGGGATAGTTCCCTGTATTACCTTGAGCAAAGTTAGCAGTCCCAAAGCCACCTTTCTTCTTTGGCTTAAAGTCAGGTGGATAGCCATTTAGTTTGTAGCAGGTTTCTCTAGTGTGTCCTTTAAAATTGCAATAGTCACAATGCAGACTATTCTTTCTAGACCTGTAGTTAGAGCCTGAATGATTATTTCCACCAGAAAAGTTGTAGACTGAACCTGCATTACCTTTGTTTCTAAACAATGTTGTTGCCCCCGTGTGAGTCATTCCATCTCCTAGATAGGTATGACTGTGACCAAGGTTACTCTTGTTATTGAGTTGAGCTAGGGTCTCAGAGGAATTAGCTCCCTTGCTGCTGAACAGAGTTGTAGCATCATGAACCTCTGAGACTTGTGAGGGTTGAGCCAATGCTCTTTTGCTTTTCTCAGAGATAATCATAGAGTATGCTTTGTTTATATATGGTCTTGGTGACATGTTCAAGATTTGATTACTGGACTGAGAGTATGTTTCATTCAGGCCCATAAGAAACTGAAGCAATCTTTGATACTCAAAATATTCAACATACTTTTTTGATTCTTCATAGCCACACCCAGGACAAGGCATAAGGGCATCAAATTTTGCCCATAGTTCTTTCAACTTCGAAAAATATGCAGAGATAGATGAAATCCCTTGAATAAGGGTAGCTATGTGGTTGTGTAGGAACAACACTCTGGAACTATTGACATTGTCAAATGTTTCCTTGAGATCCATCCACACTTTGTGAGCACTTGAGGCATACACCATGCCACTCAATAACTCGGCACTCACATAATTCATAATCCACGACAACACAATAGCATTACATTTTTCCCACGGCTCATGTAGAATAGGAGGAAACTTCTCCTAATGGTACCTCCCATCTACAAACCCTGGCTTACACTTTCCTAGCAAACTTACACGCGTAGTACTACTCCACAAAGTATAATTCTCAGGTCGAGTGAGCTTAACTGAAATTAGAGAGCTACCTGGAGTATTGATGGGTTGAAGAAATAAAGGATGATGCTGGTCAATTATCGGAGCTGCAATTGCATCAGCTAGAGTCGATCCACTATCTTTAGTGTTAATCACCATTTTTTTCTTTCACCAAGGATAAATTAAGCTCAAACGCAGTTGTACAAGAAATGCTGATTGCTCAAATTGAACGAACCCTAGCTTTTGGGAGTCGAAACAATCAGACAACTTAGTTGAGTAATCCAGCTGAGAATTGAGTGAGAAGAATCTAGAATCGAAGTTGTGAAGCGTAGATCAATGACACTCGCTCTGATACCATGATGAGATCTAGATTCGAAGCTATTAGCAATGGAGAAATGAACAAGAAACGAAGAAGAATAGAGGAAGAAAGCAACTGCTTCTTATTACTACAATGATGACTAACTTAACCAACAAATGGAAAGACATCGTGCATTTTATACTAATCGCCTAACTACTCTTCTAACTAACCAGCTAATATTTTTACTTATACAACTGTCAATGTATCTACCATTCATTCAACATATATGAACTCTTTCAATAGTTTGAAACTGTCACCGGACAAACAGAAGCAAACGAAGGAATAAAAAAGGAAACGAAAAAGAAAAAAAAGGTGAATTATCAGTATTTGTAACTCTATTATATTAAGCAATCAGGTTTGACACGAAATGAAGCTGCTTTATTAGTACTTAGAAAAGTAAATCCAGTGGCCAAAGTTGAAAACCGATCTTTCAAACTTACGCTTATGGAGTAGCAACTTAGGGAACAAAAGAGATTAACCAAAGTATAAGACTGTATTGGGTGTGGCGTAACATATTTCTTAAGAAAAGTTTCTTAACAAAATCATTTCCGTTGTTTGCTAGTATGTTAAAATTGTGTAAAGAACTAGAAAAAGAATGACTTCCGTCATTGTCGAACTAATTTTTCGTTTCAATTAATATCTTGATTTTTAAGCCGCGTGGTTTGACGATGTAGAAATGTTAATTTAACTTTAAATACTTAAAGTTAACAACACCATCCTATGCTACATGTCTAATTACAACATTGTATTATAAATGTAATCTACCTACCTTATACAATACAATCAAAGGCCAAAAATTATTAAAAACTTTGAGTTTGAGTCTCAATTTGTTTTTTTTTTAAAAAATGACTTCAAAAAGTGATTATATATTTTTTTAATGGGAACAACATTTTGTAACTCCCTAAATTCGTGTTCAAACTTCAAGATAATAGTCGTTTGATTGAGCCGCAAGAATATTTGACCCCAAAAGAAAATAAAAAAGGGTAAAAATTAGACTCTCCTGTCCTTATCTTATCTTATTTTTCTTTTTATGTTCTAGACCACTCAGAAAAAGAAAATAAAAAAAGGAATTGAAGATCACCGAGCTGTAACTTTCTCATTTCCTAAATAAGTCAACAAGATAAATACCAAGTCTTCCATCTTAGCGTTTTTTTTTTTCTAAATTATTTTAAAAAGGTCTTCTATCTTAGACTTGGAAATTGGAAATTGGAAATTCGTCAGCTTCGGTGGCCGGTGGACCCCACATACTGTTCACATAGTGGCTTCTCATTTCACTCTTATGAACAAAAAAACAGAGAAGAGTAAAACCCCCTTTTTCAGCTGCAACTTCTCGCCCATACCTTCAAGTTATGTCGTCAAACTCAATTTTCATAGCTTAATTCCTTCAAATTCTCCAAAAATGGATTCTCCAGTGAAATGGGTATTCATATTTACACTATTTTCATTCATAAATCGATCAGTTTCTGATCCAAGAGCTACAGAAGCAGCTTTAATATGTACAAACAGAACAGCTTCACAAACTGATCGTCAAGTTTATGTAGCCAGTTTTTTAGCAGCCATGGATTCCGTTACGCCCCTAGTTGCACGGCAACAATATGGAGCTGTAATAAATGGAACAGGAAATAATACAGTTTACGCTTATGGTGAGTGCATGAAAGACTTATCACAAAGAGATTGTAATCTCTGTTTTGCTCAGTGTAAAACACAAATCCTAAGGTGCTTACCATTTCAAAGATTGATTACTGGTGGGAGATTATTTTATGATGGGTGTTTTTTAAGGTATGATTATTATAAGTTCTTTAATGAAAGTGTGAGTTCTGTGGATAGGACAATTTGTGGGAACAGGAGTTTTTCAGGGGATCAGAGTTTATTTAAGGAAAATGTTGGGAAATTAGTGAGGAATTTGGAGGTGGGAGGTTTGAGGAATGATGGGTATTTAACGGCGGTTGTGGGTACTGGGAATTTGACTGTTTATGGGTTGGCTCAGTGTTGGGAATTTGTGAATGGGAGTGCTTGTCAAAGGTGTCTTTCTGATGCAGTTTCAAAGATTGGTTCTTGTCATCCTAAGGAAGAAGGGAGGGTGTTGAATACTGGTTGTTATGTTAGGTATTCTACTCAGAAGTTCTTTAACAATTCTGCAAGTGATACTCCTCCTATTGGAAATGGGGGTAAGTTCTAAATTCTTTATGGGCCAAACACATGAATATTTCTTTTAGTATGAAATTTGAATCCAAGACCTCTAATTTATGTGGTCACATTATGATTAATTATCAGGAGGATCGAGTCGCTTGGCTGTTATTCTCGCAACAACCCTGGGTATTTCTGCTTTCTTACTATTTGTGTCGGCTGTTTCATTCTTTATGCGGAAGAAGGTTTTGAGACAAAAGAGAGGTACTAATTTCAAAGTCAATCATTTTCATTCTTGTGATTGATCAAATGGAAATTTGACTTGAATTTGCTTTGATAATGTAGAGAAGAAGCAGCTAGGAGCGCTCATAAGAACAGTTAATAAATCAAAACTGAATATATCCTATGAAACCCTTGAGAAGGCAGCAAATTACTTTAACAACTCCAATAAATTGGGACAAGGAGGTTCTGGTTCTGTTTACAAGGTAATTTCTCTTTGAACATTATTTTCTTATCGCAAAGACTTGTGTCTTATGATAGTCGTGTTTCCACATGAAATAGGGGATCTTGCCGGATGGTCAGGTTGTTGCTATAAAGAGGCTCTTCTTCAATACGAGGCAATGGGTTGATCATTTCTTTAATGAGGTCAATTTGATTAGCGGCATACATCACAAAAACCTAGTAAAGCTGTTGGGGTGCAGCATTACAGGGCCAGAAAGTCTTCTAGTGTATGAGTACGTGCCCAATCATAGTCTTCTGGATTACGTCTTTGGTAAGTATCGCATCCAACCTTAATTATGAACTCTTAAATTAGTGTAAAATGACTTTGATTTGCACTGAATCAGACACAAAGAACCTTCAGCCACTTACATGGGATCAAAGATACAAAATTGTATTGGGTACTGCTGAGGGCTTGGCCTATCTTCATGAAGAATCAAAGTTGAGGATCATTCACAGAGACATAAAGTTGAGCAATGTTCTTCTAGATGAAGATTTCACGCCAAAAATTGCTGATTTTGGTCTAGCCAGGTTATTTCCTGAAGACAGGACTCATATTAGCACAGCTATTGCTGGTACACTGTAAGTTTGGGTTATTCTTACTTTTTCTTTAACCAGTGAGGATTAAACACTATAGACAAATTGTTTGCTGAAATGATTAAATCTCGATACAGTAAGAAGTGTTGGATCTGTTTTACTTAGCTATATCATCGCTAAGGTCTTGCTATTAAATCTCTATAATTTTGCCATGTTTCCGGGAGATGAGACCTTTCACTTATGTATAACTTAATGTAAAAGTAGGTTTTTCGCTAGTATAAGTTAACTACTGCATATATAGTTTTAGGGGTTCTATTTTTTCTGTCCACTTCTGGTCGTTGAACTTCCTTTGATATTATTAAAAGAAGTAATCAGATTTAAAATTGCAGCGGTTACATGGCTCCAGAGTACATTGTACGTGGCAAACTGACTGAGAAAGCTGATGTTTATAGTTTCGGTGTTCTTGTTATCGAACTCGTGTGTGGAAAGAAGAACAATTATGTTTTCCAGAACACAAATTCTCTTCTGCAGCAGGTACTTTCTTGTGATATATCATCTGTCCATAATGGACATTAATAATCATAATACTTACTAAACTCATTTCGTTGTGGTTTCTAGTTGTGGAACTTGTATGGAATTGGAAAATCTTGTGAAGCAGTTGATCCTTCGTTAGAGGGTAACTTCAATGAAGAGGAGGCGTCTAAGCTGCTTCAAGTAGGTCTGCTTTGTGTACAGGCATCAGCAGAATTGCGACCCTCCATGTCGAGCGTCGTGAAAATGCTTACCGACAACCATGAAATTCTTCAGCCAACACAACCACCATTCCTCAACTCTGGAAGTTCAGAATTTAGTCCATTTAATCTGCACGGCAAAAGATTTTTCGGTCAACCAAGCTCCTCTACACAATCTTCTGGGAATAAATTGACAGAGAGTTGGATCGATCCTAGATAAACTAAGGTGATCAAGAATTTTGACTTGACTCGATGATCATCCGGAATTGGCATTGGATTTTTGTTCTCAGCAAAGGCCAAATCTTTGAAGGTGAATTGTTCAGCCAACTCAAGTTTGTGTCTGTGATCACACATTATGATTTGAGCTAATGAGCTTAACATTGACTAGCACTCACCCTCCATTTTTCAGCTGATATTTGGTATAGTCTGATTTAGTCAAATTCGTTTTGTGAATATCCTATAGAGCCTACTTCCTTTTCCCTAAAGTAAAGCTGTTGTATAATGCCTGAATTGTGATACAGTATCTGCAGCTGTAGCAATGAACATCATCTATTGTGATAGATTTTCGAGTAGTAATTTTCAATAAAGATTAGGCTTCACAATTATCATAATATTGTCTTGATTTTGATCGGTAGATTGTTTCAGAACTATCATTCGAACCCACAAAAGAAAAGAACAATAGATCAAATGATCAAGTCTTGCAGACACTATTTTGGTTTTTTTAGGAGTTGCTCATTCATATAATGGAGAAGTACAAAAGTGGAGTTTTACAGTTCCAGTCACTCGTGAACTGTCAGTGTATATACTTAAATCTTTGGTAATATATCATTTAAAATGACAAAAATTATAGTCTCTGTAATGTGCTATTTCAGGTCATAATTGGTTGGATTTACCCAAAAATACATGCTGGGACAGGGTGCTTGCTTAATTTCTGAGCAAATGTTCAACAGCTAGAACCTCTTATTTTATAAGTTATAATCCAGCAGAGTGTGAAAGGGAACTTTGTTGACTCATTCAAAATCAAATTCCCTATTTGGAGTTTACTATAAAGTGGTACGCTTGTATTATTTAGCATAACACTTGCTAGCTTATTTTAGGAGGTATGGACCTCAATGGAACTCTATTGCTATTTGCTAGTTGTGTTGTGTACTGTACGTGACCCAAAAGGAATATTGCTAGGTAGCTAGTTGATGTTTGTTATAATTATTATTACTAAACAGAGCTAAAATTGCTAAAGCAAGTCCAATTTATGTGATGGATAATCGTTCTATGACATTTAATTTTGAAATTTACTAAAATTGACTAGTTTATCAATCCTTTTGTCATATTCGTGGATTGAAGAAAATTTATTTTGCCCCTTCACATAAACACGTGCAACTTATTGTACTTTAACTTAAGCATCGCAATCGTTAATATACTTGGTCTGACAGCTATAACATCTTAAGGAGTCACAGTCACTAACTATTGCAAGTTGTTTGTATTATATATATAATGAAGATACTTAACATTATCAACATTTTTGTATCATGTACGTTGACCTGCAGGGAGGAATCTCATACACCAAGTCAAGTGGATTTGTCCTCTCAATTGTCAGTGTGATTCTATTTAGTATTGTATTAAATGTTAACGTATTTGCATATCACATGATATAACATTATTGAGCAATTTGGGTGAAAGAGGGTCTTTTTTAGCATGATTGTATTAAGAGGTACTTATCCGTCAAGTTCATCTATTAATTTGTCTCGATTAAAACCTCATCGACCTTTTTCTTTTTAAATCTTCTCATATCGGTACTCATGTTATGATCCCATTTTATTTTATGAAGAAAATAAGAGTCAATTTGTTTTGTAGGCCTTTATAAATTTGATTTTAATTTTATGGTTTTTTTACAAGAGATTTTTATTGTTATATAATATTTTCCGTCTCTCGAGAAAAAGAAGTAAGCTATTTCTTTGAAATATTCTGCTCAAATTCATGTGTGATAATTCCGCCAAAAGTTCTCCATTAGTTGGGGAAGAATCCCATCGAATCGGATTTTTTGCGGAATGTATCGAGAGAGATTGGATTCTGTTGGATAATATGTGATTAGTAAACAATGATCGATTTTTCCGCAAGATACAAAATAAATTGTCAAATATTCATTGGAGACCATTTCCTCGAAAATAAGGGGAGGGAAAAAAGCCTCAAGCTTATGGTACTATTCGACGGCTTCATTATTTCTGGAACTGTTTTCACAACTTGATTAAACAAAACAATTTATTTAGTTTATAATCTTACTACTTTGACTTGAGCTCAAAACGACAAACTCTTTGCCAGCTAGTTTGTCAATTACGATGTTAATGATGTTTACTTAACCAAAAGAAAATAGAAGAAAGTCATACACCAACTGTATCATTTCCAATTAATGCGTTGTAATTAAGTTAGTCAATTTTTTCGCTTCACCTAATGATAGCTATTCTAGATAAACGAAAACTTAAAGACTTTTATGCACCGTTTAACACAACTGCTATAGAATTTAAGGGTCCACCAAACTATATAAAGAACCAAGTTTTCTATAAGTTCCCACAGATATAAGTTTTTACAGAAATCACGCACACTGCACTGAGTAAATGACAAGAGAAATTTTACGTGAAAAATTCTCAGCTCAACGGGATTAAAAATCACGACCTACCCTTGTAGGATTTCAACTTCACTACTGAGCAACTTTCAGATTACAACCTATGTAACCTAGGGATTAACCTCTTAATCCCTCACTAACTTGTAACACTCTATTACAAGCCACTTAGTAATAACTCTATTACAAAGACTTTATAACTCGATTAACTCTAGCCAAGACACAAACACAAGAGTTTATGATTTACAAAGGGTTTCCTACGCAGTGCTTCTAAACAAGCTAAGTAGGAATTACATTTGAAGAACTATTACAAAGTCACAACTCAACTAAGGACATACAATAACTTGATATGGGAAACTGGTCCGTAGTAGTGTTATTCTTTGTTCTTGATGCACTTGAGAATCGTTTTCTTGATGATCAATCACAGAGAGTGTGCTTGAGTAAATTCTCTAAGTGTTCAAAATATTTGTTTTACCTTTCTTGATGTTAATAATGCATTTGTGACATCACTGGAATGATGTAAGCAAGGTAGGTAAAAGACACTCCCCATAAAGTTGACTGCTGCACTGTAACGTGTGCAGGCAGCAACTTTACAATTGGGGCAGTTGACTTGTGCAGTTTCTTCGGGAAGCGGTAGCTATCTGTTCCCTCTGTTGTTCCTTTGACTCTGAAGAGTTGAACCATATCCCAAGCTGGAATCTTTTGATCTTAAGGTCTTGGGAATGTGTAACAGATTCCTTATCTGATTCTTGACAATAAGTTTGTTAGATCATCAAAACATAATATGGATATACATATAACCAATCAAATACCTTCTAGGACAAGCGCATGTTATAGTCTTTAAAATACGAATCTCCTTCCAAAACGAGCACGAAGATGGAAGACTTTGAAAAATAATATGGTGGACGACTTTGAAAATGTTAAAATGGTTGACTTGAATAGTGCCACAGAGAGAAAGTGGCATCGACAAAATAATTGTTTTAGAAAAATGCTACTTCCTATTTCAAGAATTCTTTTGGTTTCTCATTCGGTGTTTGTATTCGCACCGTAGCCCGACTAAATTTGGATTCACACCGAAAAATTTTATATTGGAAGATAAAGGCTTCCTAACAAAGATGACTACATATTCAGAGCTCAAACCTGAGACCTCCCGTTAAGGATACCACACCCCAACAAAGAATTATTTTTCAATAATGTCACCTTTGGCATTAAATGTAGACGTGCTTAATTAGCCATATATATTTATTTGCTAAAGCTACGGCTAAGTGTATAACACAAATTAAATTGGGCACGTAAAAGAAACATTAGAAATTAAACATACAAATGATGTACGCGCGGCATGAAATAAGAAGGCATTTTATAAAAGAAATATTAGAAATTAAACATACAAATGTCGTACGCGCGGCATGAAATAAGAAGACAAGTTAGGAATGTTTTTTGTTAGACACATTGTACTTGCTACTGCAGGTAACACGCATCATTCAGACGCCTCTTTTTGTAACCCCATCTCGGGGATTTAGCTAGTTCTAGCTCAACCCCCTCCCCTCTTTTTGTCACGACCCACCGCGAGGTCGCCCCTGTAGTTCTGTTACTTATGCAGGTTAGTCGTGTCCTGTGTCTATGTCAACTTTAGCTCTTTGTACTACACACTCGTTATCTTAATATAACTAGTTTCTTTTGGACCAAAAAAGCAAAAGGCATTTTATGATTATATATAGCGGTAATTCGTGCATTAATTATGGAAGATCAGATTAAACGAATAACAATAAGGTCAGTGCAAGAAGTCTTTATTAAATACCAAAATCAGTACATTTCGGTCGCTAGATTCGACTTGCATAGATGCTCTCCAACTAAGGCTGCATTACATTTCCATTATAAAACTTGACTAGAGTTATGATTGTAACAAGCATATTGTTTACCCGAAAAACGGATAGTGTTGAATTTATACGTAGTTCTAAAGATGCGTGGTATAGCTTGGTATAAATCGAAAAAGTATGTAGAAAAATATCGAATATTAACCGTAAAAAGGGAATGAAATACAAACCAAACTAAGTAAAAAACGATTTATGAACAAACAAGATGAATCAACGTACAAGGCTCACAAAAGGATGATTTCTCCAATATCTGTATGTGAATATCAATAATCTTTTCAATAAGGGAGTGTGTAAATGCCTTAATGTTCAATCTTCTCTTAATAGCCACTCTTTTATAGTGGGGGATCCTACTTTGGATATAATAAAAGATACATAGTGGGAATCCCATGATAGATTAGTTAATTTAGCTTTTCCTTAATTCCCATCAAGATTCTCTCCCCAAGTGCGGCTACAACGGCTCTTGTCTCTTAGTTCGATCTTGGTCGGACTTGATATAGGTCGATCTCCAGATTTCGAGCTCGATATTGACTCGGGCTCGGATCTTGAGTTCGATAATGCCACTTCACATTATAGTTCGATTTTGGACTCTAGCTCGATAATGACTTCGAGCTCGGTATTGATCGGTCCCTGAATCTTGAGCTTGGTAACCTGGCTTCAGATCTCATCTCAGTATTATAAAAACGACCTCCGGTCCATCATGTTCCAATCTTGACTAATTGCATAAAGGAAAAAATCGGTTTTGACCGTATATAGATAGTCCCCTCATTTCTCGGGAAGAATGTGGCGAGAAACGACATGATTTTTCAATGATACGACTAGATATACACTGACGTTTGCATCGAGCTCGACCATGACATATGTGATAACTGTCCCGTCGGTTCAGTTACCAAGGCATTAAATGTGTGTCAGAAAATGGTCGGCCACTGTTGATATTGAACCGTCATTGCCAACTCTATAAATAGCTCTTCTCTTTACCATTTTTTACTTTTAGATCTCCAATCTCCAAATCTTCTAAGTTCTTTTTCGCATCTTCTGAGTTCTTCATCTGCAAATCAGTGATTTTCATTGCAAATTTCTTCTCAAAACACCAAAATACTTTTGATCTTTGTTCACAGAAATTTAG